TATACACAGTTTGGAAGCAAAGTACCTCGCACAGGTTTCTTCGGGTAAGGTTGTCGAACCAGAACCTAGCAAGCCAGTGTTTTTCTGGTGTGGGATACCGGATGGAGGGACTGCAGATCAAGCGTTGCAGAGGGGGTGGCAGGAAGAGATTGGGAGTGAGGAGGAGGTCGAGTTCCTAGCCGCTGTTGCGATGGAGGAGACAGCCGGACTAGGAGCTGGAGCAATCAAGGTGGATGAATTGGACTGTTCAATCCGGTCACATATCCTACTAGCGGTCATGCAGGCTGCGTTGGTAGAGAACATGCAAGAGAGAGAGCATTTCTTGGGGGAGCTGGAGAGGCGGATGGTACAAAAGGGGAGGATTGGTGAGGAAAGAGCAGGGAGGTGGGTTAGGGAGGCCTTGGAAATTATGGTGCCTTATGTACGCGTGTGGCAGGGCAAATGGCCTAGTGCAGAGAAGAGAGGGGAAATGCTGCGCCGGATCTTGGTGGAGAATCCACTGCTCTTTGCACGCTGGAAGTTGTCGCCTGTTTTAAGGCAGTTCGCTTTTGACGACGCAAAAGTTGACTGTCTCGGCTGCCAAGCGGCGTACTGTTAACTACTGCCGAGATCCCTTCACCCGGGTAGTACACAACTGTTGGCATACCATACTGGTGAATGTAGTCGACAATCCTGTAGTATCTACTGCCTAACACGGGCCGATACCTGGGTGAGCTCAAAGCAGAACTTGTGTCGCAGAACCGTGAATCTTGCTAATGATCAAAGCTGCTTTTGAACGGCTTTTGGTATCCGTAGTCGACCTATCCAGACGCGATTGACTGTAAGCTGTCGTGGAATTCCACCGTCGCGGTTTACCACGCTGCGATGCCGCTTACATGTTTGATTGGAATTCCCAGAATAAATAGAGTGCGCCTTTGACGATAGCCCCCCACAAAACTGACGTTGTATTCAAAGGAACAACGGCTAATGCGACAGCGGCTGGGTGCTTCTGCCGTCATTGATGATGGTTGCGGACGTAGTGAAACTGCGCAGCCGTTGGGTTCCCTGATAGCGTTGCGCGCCATGCCGGATGCGGGCTTAATTGGCAGCCATGGAGGTAACGTGAAGACGCGAGGACGCGTCGAGGGGCGCTTTTCTTTGTGCGTGCCTGGCCAGCTCCACCGACGCGACCCATCGCGTCCGAGGTTCATTGATCAGCGACGCATAATTTCACGGCATCAGGGACTGTGTCATGGTCGCTGACATCGCCTTTGCCAGCCGCGAATCCTGTCATTGCGCGGAACCGGATCGCAGCCTCGCGCTACGCCTCTCTCCCACCATCGGTCCTTCAACACGACATTTGCCCCTCAGGGGAACGCCAAACGGCCTCTAGATGGGGCCTCCGGTGGACGGCCGCAATTCGTTGATTCGCGGATGCAAGCGATGAGCCGGCGCTGGCTGTTGCACCGCGGCGGCGTCGATTGCTTTTCGCAAAGTTTCTTGGGTGCCTGGCCAAAGCTTCAACCCTTCAGAGAGCCCTGCGCAAAGAACGCGACCAGTCATCTCATCACTTTATCGTGCCGTGCGAATGCTCGTCGCATGCCTCAAGCAAAAAGCACGGTTTGAGACATTAGAAGTGTCGGTCCTCAGGTCCTGCTAACATGTCCTGAGCGGGCTCAGTTGTTTGCGGTAGAGGGACACGCCATGCCACCGGCGCACAACTAGCGCCATCAGCCTTCTTTGTTCCGCCCTTGTTTCACAACCTTGCACAAGTGTTACTTGGTCCAGGACCGGGGGCTCAGCCGTCCTGACTCTTAGCTCTGGAAGAGGCAAAGTGGAACATGTGATATCGCGTTTACGCGTTAGGTCCATTTACGCGTCCAATCGCGTCGCAATTCACCCTCACCCTGGCCGAGGGCCGGAGAGTGGCCTCCTGTGAGGAGTCAGGTATATATACACGGCTGCAGTCGCCTAGTACTTGCGTGCTATCGTCTTATTTGCCCTACGACGTTTCTGCCTAAGGATCTTTCGGAGTCGTCTGCTTTGCCTACTTGTACTCGTACGCTTGCTGCCTACTCACTGCACCTATAAGTATCAGCGATACCTCTTCGCACCGAACCCATCCATCGTAAACACAGCATCTCAGCATCGCATCATCATGTTCTCATCAAACCGCACGCGCCATCAAGAGGGCAGCTTCTCGAAACATCGCGCATCCAAGTCCAAATCACACAAGAAGAACCCCTCCTTCAGAGACTCACCGAGGAGAGTAGAACGACTAGCACAGCATGCACAGGCATCATCACCACAATCGAACCAAACTTCTCCAACACTGGGAAGGTGAGTTTGTTCTCTTACGATGAAAGCCGAAGAAACTTTACTGACAACTTCTATCAGTGCCATCATCACTATTTCCGTCGGCCGCGAGCAGCGACTCTTTGCAGCGCACGAAGACGTTCTATCGCATTCTCCCTGGTTCCAGACTCTCTGCAGCGGCCAGTTCTTCCAGTCTACCAACAAGCGCATCGACCTACCCGACGAAGAGCCCGAAGTCTTCTCATCGATTCTCGAGTACCTCTACAAGGGCGACTACTACCCGCGCATGGAATATGACAAGAAGCGAAACAGCTGGAACCTTGAAGATGGTGGCAACGCCAACAACGCCCACGAAGCCATCGTTCAGTCTTCGGTTGGACCGATACTGAAAGACACGGTCATCTACTGTCAAGCCGACAAGTACGGACTCCAAGAACTGAAGAAGCTTGCGCTCAAGAAGCAGGGCCTTCAATCTGGCATCCAATGCTCGACTATCTTGACCTCCGCCCGTTACGCATATGCCAACACTCCCGACAACGACTCGAAGCTTCGCGCACATTACCTCGCGCTCATCATCCGCGCCCGACACACATTTAAGCGCAGCGGCACAATGCAGAACGAGATGGAGAACGGCGGCAAGCTCTTCTTCGACTTGTTCGTTGCCATGGTCAACCACATGGACGACCTTTCAGCGAAGTCACCGCACTAGGTTGCTGTCCTCACATTTGATCCTTTCGAGCTTCCCTTGACCAGCTTGCCCTCTTCATCGCCCCCAACTAATGACTCCTTTCATCTGCTATTTCTTGACCTTCTTGTATATACACCTTGCGTTTCAGCCTCGCGGCTATGCCTTTTCTTTACTGGGTTCTGCTTCAGTCTGGGTTTGTTGCTGCACGGCGTTACGGTCTGGATATACCTTTCTGGCACTCATTCACGCCACTGTTGTACTATACTTATCTCTTTACCTGGCTTGGTTTGCCTTGTCTTTCGCGTCTTCTCTATCGGCCTCAAAATTGCCTAGATGCGCAGGCCTTTTCGCATTGGTTCAACTTTCCTCTCTGCATCTCAAGACAGAAAACACTTCCTGGCTGTCATGCTACCAGAACGTTTGCGCTTTACTTATGTTCTTCGTCGCGTCTTCGACTCTTCTTTGGGGAAGCCAGTTGCTTCTCTACAATTGTTGCAGTATCAACTGCAGGACAGCGGCATCAAATTGTAACAGGATATGGTCGTATCTTTCGTACTATGTTTCAAGCGATTAATGATAGCATTCAATATCACGAACACTTACGCTTGGATTCTTGAGTACCGTATCTAACCTGACGTGATGGCGCAGTAATCTATTTAGGCCTCCAACTGCTCGTAGCGACCATGCTGCTCAGCCTTGATCCTCCGTCTCCACACTGGCTTGGCTGATATCATTGGCCGGCAACACGGCATCTACGCAGTACACACTTCACAACCTCCAAGTATATAGTTGGAACGATAACCAAGCGCATGTGGACTTGATGTTACAGTAGACACCGTGATTACCATATCCGCAGTACTTGCCAGTTTTGTCACAACTTTACACACCACGCAACACGATTACCGCAAAGCCACCACCATGTTCCCCGAAAAACCACCTCGACACTCAGCCCAAGCCATCGGCGCAAAACGCGTCGGAGGCAAGAAAGTTCCAAAGCAGTATCGCAAATATCACCCAAACCATAAGAACAACAGTAAAACGGGGGGCAATGTCGCTACCAAGTTTGCGCATAACCTGATACGCGGAGTGAAGTCTATCATCGAATCGCTCTAGACGTGGTTACCTCCGGAGCAAAGCAGCACGGTACATTGCGACTAAGGCATGTGGGCTGCGAGCGGAAGCAGGAGAAAAGAAGGAAAGACAGAAAGGGTGAGCCGTGAGCTGAGGTGCGTCGGCGAACGCTATACATGACGCCAGTCCGGGATGAACCATACAAAGCGGGATGGAGAACGAATGCAGCGTCTTAACGATGCCCGAAGACAAAGCCAAGTGGATAAGCAGGACTCGGCATGGAGACGAGGGAACACCGCCGATCAATACGCGTTGACTCATCTTGTCAAACGCTCCACATGCGCGGACTAGGCGTGGTACTGGTACTTGCTGGTACAGTCACAATCATTCAGCCGGCATACTTCGCTGTTCATGCAAGATGCGACAAGGACACCATCTGCACGTCGAAGCGAGGCGGAAGCAATGTATCGCGTCGCGTCGCGTTGGGCTGGTAGTGCAAGTGGGGTAAAGATGGACAGGGCGGCGGATTGGGTGTGGGCGGGGGCCTGCAACGCGATATCAGCTGAGAGGGCGACAGCGCGTCTGTGCGGGACGCGGCTTGGGGTCCTGCACCAGTCACTGGCCGCGTCGAAGAGCCGGCTCGTCTCACGAACCATGCAAGGGAGGGGCTAGATAAAGGAAATACCAGGTAATCAAAGTTTGAGGCAGATCGGTAGCATTTATTGAGATATTGGCGATTTCAACTTGCCTTCCTTCGTCGTCAATCCCCACTTTGCGCGATGGTGTTGTGCATCGCACATCGTCATTCCATGCGCATCGAGGCTGCTTACACATGCGACCGCGCATCTCCTCCCGGCTTGGACAGTGACGTGTCGTGGTTCGTGATTGTGATAGAGCAAGGAGTCGATCTGTATGGTAGACGGGAGCAGGCCGACGTTTTTAGGCATCAGACCCCTGTTCCCGGGAATGCGCCCTTCTTGTTCATGACTACCATGCCGTGTTCGCGCGAGATATAGCCTTTCATCAGACCCTGCAATATGGGTTAGCCGAGTGGGTTCTTGGTGTGACATCCGTGACGAGGCTGCCTCAGAGCCGGGTAAGACCTATAGAAGCCCAACGCTGGGGCATAGCGTACGCACCTTGTAAATCTGGTTTGCCAATAGGCACTCGACCTCGTCGTCCTCCACTGCTTGGCCGCTGCCTTCGCCTGCAATACCCATCCTGAGCGCGGCGGCAAAGTTTGCTAGCGGTACTCGCGACTTCCGTATCCGGTCCTTCTCCGTCTGTCCTTCTTTGAGATCGTCAAAGCCACCAGCAAGGTAAACCTTTCGGAGAAGGTTGCGCAAAGCGATGTCGCGGCTCCGCTCCAGAGTAAGGAAGATGCGCCGCCTGACAAACTCGGGCTCGCCTTCTGCCAGTGCCTTGTCGAAGCCCGTAAGATCGCCTCGTTTTATGCAGGATACGAGGGGGCCGAAAATGCGTTCTAGACGAGGGGCTTCGGCGAGTAGGCTGGCGGTGGGAACCTTGTGTTGAGTGATTAGGCGGCAGGGAATGAGGTATGTGAGTATGAGCCTGAACTGTTAGTTCCGAGGAGTTATCCGTTGGATTGACCTAACTCACGATTTGTTTTGTTGCGACTTTGACCAGCAAGATTCCCACGCCTGCTGCAAGCTGCTTTCTGCCTTGGCGTAGTCTTCCTGCAGGAACGCCAGCACCCCAAGATAGTATTTGTATGTGACTCTATGCGCTCGCGGGTATAGCTCGAATGTAGGTAGGTCGGACTGTGCTTCGATCGATCGTACAACGTTCTTGGATAAGCTGATTGCTTTCAACTAGGTACATGCGCATTAGCTGTCGTTACACCACGCAGATTGCGATAGGGCTTACTTTGAAATACGTCTTGAACTGAAGATTGGCTATGCAATATACACCCCACTTTCGCGATTGTGACATGTCGGGGTTCCTGTCACCAAGACAAAGGGCAAAGATCCTGTTGAATACCCGCGCAGCTTCTTCAAGCTTCTGATTCTGAGGTGCTGTGCTCACGATATCGTCTGAGTAGCCGGTGTTGAGAGCTGCTGGTTTCGACTTGGCCAATTGCTCGTCTGCTTTGATTGCTATCTTCCTAAGATGATTTGCAGTGAAGTACAGGGTGAATATGGCCCATGCTGGTAGCAGTCCACCAGATATGTGCTTGATGAAGATGCTCGTCAGGTCCTTCCACGTATCGTACACTGCCAGGTATTGACGCTCATTCAGCTTGCCCTGATTTGCTGCTTCGTCGGTCTTGATGATCTCTTTGACAGCGCGCCAATAAGTAGCAATGATATCAACCCAGGGAGAAGCCTTGGCCTTTTTGGGGTTCATTCGCTGTTCGAGCGCATAAACAACATCGCCTTCAATCTTCTCGTCGCTGGATGCGCGGTAGAAGTCGTATAGCCGGCCAGGGTCATGCGCGGGTGCGACTGGACTGAAGAAGTCTGCGACGGGTTGCGCAAGGCCACTGGCCAGTGCCTGATGGAAAGGCACGAGTGCAGCTTGCATGGCGGCCATGAGGGATTCGGTCGGGTTACGGGATATCGGTTGTCGCGTGAATCTGAAGGTTTGCGCGACTTCAGTTGGTACTCTCAGCCCTTTGACATGGTGCGGATTGTTTGCTGAGAACCAACTGGTGGGTGTTCTGGTGGTCCTCGAGGCGGTCGGGTGTTTGGGCTGTTTGTTCGCCGACGTCCATAGCGCCTGCCGCCAAGTTGTTGTGGGCCCATGCTCAACTCGGCTAGCGCGCACAAGGTGGTGTCGAATTCGCTTGTCAATCCACGATGGAGACGACCTGACTGAACTTCTCAACTCAAGGTACTAACCTCACAGCACATTCAAGGTCAGTCTACGTCGCCAGCTCATGCCCATACCGCCCGCTAATCAGTCGCAGATGGGTAAGCAATTTTTCTTCGTCCGCAACACCGCCCCGTCCAGCAATTGCAGCCGATGGAATTTTCGAACGAGGCCAGCGCGACCATGACCGTCTCTCACCATCGCGATAAAACGACACGAAGCTGGGGCCGAGTGGGAAGGAGCTTTGGTGGTGTGCATGCACAGCGGAAAGGCCAACGACGCTGAAAACTTATGACGATGGCAGCGAAGCCCGCGAGATCGTCCGCATGCGACAGACTCGAATACGACCGTACTCGACTGACTGCCCTAACCCGACCGCCTTCTCCAACCACGACCGCTGCAATTGCTGGACTAGGAGAGAACATTGTCATTGAAGCGGTACTGACGATGCTTCAGCACGCTTCCAGGAATACCAGATCATCGGGCGCCATCTGCCCAGCGAGACCAACCCCTCGCCCAAGATCTACCGCATGCGCATCTTTGCGACCAACGAGGTTGTCGCCAAGTCGCGGTTCTGGTACTTCCTTGGCAAGCTCCGCAAGATCAAGAAGGCCAACGGTGAGATCGTCTCCGTAAACCAGGTATGTCGAGGCAGCAGAAGACTGCGCAACAACAAATTGACCCGGTTCAGATCCACGAGAAGAAGCCCCAGAAGGTCAAGAACTTCGGTATCTGGCTCAAGTACGACTCGCGCTCCGGTACCCACAACATGTACAAGGAGTACCGCGAGATGTCCCGTGTCGCCGCCGTCGATGCTCTGTACCAGGATATGGCCGCCCGTCACCGATCGCGCTTCAGGTCCGTTCAGGTATGATCAAATCGACTCAGCCGCCTGCGTCAAATCACTCACACTCAATCTAGATTCTCAAGGTTGTTGAGGTCGAGAAGGCCGACGACCTCCGCCGCCCATACATCAAGCAGCTCCTCACCAAGAACCTCAAGTTCCCGCTGCCCCACCGCATCAACAAGAAGGTTGGAAAGAAGGTCTTCTCCTCTACCCGACCATCCACTTTCTTCTAAGCGTGTTTCTCATTACGGAGTGCGGTCTGGATGGGAAGGGATGTTATGGGTTTCCCTCGGTTATGCATGCTTCACGAAAAGAAGTACATTAGGAACGAATGAAAATCCCTGATACCTCCATTCGGCCGTCGGTGCGAGTGATGCAGTTTGGGGTGCTAGCTAGGCACGCGCGTGAAGGCGATACTTGCAGGGACGTCGAACAAAGGTGATACCGAGGGATGAGTTGGACGATAGACAATGAAGTCATGCCAATACACTTGAGCAGTACATGTTGCATTTCGACCCATTTTCTGACATGCGATTAGATCTTCGCCCTCCCTGTTGGCGCCACCTTTGGCCTTCCCAGTGTGTCTATTGGCATCCACCATGGGTACCCAGTCACATTTGTCTTGTCCATGGTCCCCGTGAAATTCGCCGGCCTCTTCTCCATGAAGGACTTTACACCCTCGGTGTTATCCCTGTGGCTAGTCAGTTTATGGATATCAGTTACAGCAAGAAGGACTTACGGCGATCCAAACAACTCGTAGATGACCCTGCTATCCAACAAATGCTGACCCTCAGGACTCCCCGCATCTCTGTACATCAGCTCCTTCATCAGATACGTACTCACGCTACTCGTGTTCTTCACCACGTCCTCTGCAACCTCGAGCGCTCTCGGCAACACATCTTCCGCCTTGTCGCACACCTCCGCAAACAAGCCATTCCAGACCTGGTGGCTAGCAAGATAGGTGCTGCCTGTCGTCACGGCCTGCATAGCGCGACTATGACCGATCAACCGGGGCAGGAAGAAGGAAGAACACGCTTCCATGATGAGTCCACGGCGCGCGAAAACAAAGCCAATCTTCGCCGATGCATACGCTATGCGGATGTTCATGGGCAGCGTCATGGTGATGCCAATCCCGACTGCAGAACCTTGCAGAGCGGCGATTGAAGGCTTGCGGCAATGATGGATAGCTAGGGCTACGCGTCCGCCTCTGAAATGTTCTTCTGTTAGCACACTATTCTTTGTCAATATGACCAACCCAGTCTCGTTCTCGTTGATCGCAGGAAGCGACTCGAGACACATCATCAACACAACAAATAAAAACACCCAACCTACCCATCCCGATGATCCTGCACCCTCTCCGCATCCGCCCCATTAACCCCCTCCCCAAACCCCTCATCTAGATCCGCGCCCGCACAGAAGATCCGCCCATCTCCTGTCACCACGATGCATTTCACCCGCTCGTCTGCATCGAACATGCCGTATGCTTCTTCAATCTCCGCGCGCATCGTGTCGGTGAAGGCATTGTGGTTTCCGGGTCTGTACAATGTGAGGATGATGACGGAGGGTTCTTTTTCGTGGTGCTGAGTGCGGATTTGGGTGAAGTTTAGGTCGTTGTAGGAGGTGGGGAGGACGATGTCTGGTTTGTGGCGGGGGGTCTCTTTGGGGGGCATTTTGGCTGAAGTTTTGGTTGAATTTGAATGAGTGGGTGGATGACAGAAACGATTGACGTCTTGGGGAATTAAATGCTGGTTACATGCGCGTGGTACGTACGTAACCCATGTTGTCCGGGAGCGTGGACGTGCTTGTCGCGTTGATGATGCGGGGAGACGCGGAACCGAGGTACGCGTTGGTGGTGTTCGACGTCGAAGCTTGGGTTCGGGTAAGCTTATCTCAGCCATTACAGCCTCTTTACACGGAAGATGCTTGTGAACACTATCTTTGTTTGCGGGGTGATGAAGTCATCCAAGCATACGGTATAACACCTCTTGCGTGTTATCAAATTAACATACCTTTGTCAGTAACGCTCACGGTTGCTCAATCATTTTGTCAACAGAACGCTGCTTCTTCAGTGTGAGAGGATACAATATCCAAATATCATCTATAGTGGCTGAAGCCAAGTCGCTTTCTACTATTACATAGTGGTATCATTTCTCCGTACGAGACATCTAAGCGGTGACCTCTCCCTCAGCAAAAGCCCTGCCAATTTCCCTGGCAACCCCCAATCTTAGCACCGCAATAATATCTTCACTCTTTGCACCCTTCGGGAAGCCTTTCCGCCAGTCCCACCCACGCTTACTATCGTCTACATGTCCACCCTTGACAAAGACCGTCGAGCCCTCGGCACTCTGGCCATCTGCGGAGCCGAAATCAATTGAGCCTATAAGCGAATATTGGCTTGACGCTGTCGTCAAATTCGATGTCGATTTCGATAATTGTTGAGAGGCGTTGGGGTCGTGTGCGGAGAGGAGGGTAGTCGCAAGTACTTCCTCACATTGCGTTCGGATCATGCTAGGTGCGGTATCAAGGTCCTCGATGGCTGCGAGGAGGTCGTACAGGTGGCGGAGCGTCAATGTGCGCTTGGGCTGGTTGACAAAGATAAGTGCCTCCCCTAGCAATGGTAGGAGAACGTCGACTTGAACCACAGTTTCTATCTCTGGATCGTACAGTCCTCCACGGATGCTGGATGCCGCACTGGCGATGATAACCATGAGCGCGTTCGCTGCAGCTCGTTTCCGTGCCATAGGTCGATGTGCTGGCTTCTCTCCGGGCTTCAGCAACACCTCTTCATCTCGTAGGTCGTAGTATTTGCGTATTGTTGCGTAACCGCTCAGGTGGTTTGAAAGGAGAGAAGCTGCCTCAGAGTCTAGGCTTGCGAGTTTTGTCAGGGTCTGCTTTGGTGAAGTAATGAGCGAGTTGAGCGACTCGTCCAGTTCATCTAGAGGTGGATAGGCGGTCGACTTGATAAGGCAGTGGGCAACCAAGACTCGTAGCACCTCTTGGATCTTTTGTGCGTCGTGGGCACGGGCGTAGTAGAGCAGTGTATCGCCATAGCTCTCGGTGTTGGTGCGGAGATGGTCGGCGTATTTCTGCAACTGTCAGCTTGTAACCGGGAGTGTTCCTGCTCTATAACATACCTGAGCGATGATGACGGCATGCTGTGAGAGGCCCAAGTTATGGCAAAGCTGGGTGATCTTGTCGACACGAGCTGAGGAATCGAGTTGCAAGTCGTTTAGTATCCGCTCAATGCGCTCGTTTGCTGTGATGCCATCGTCCAGTCTACCGAGAATCTGCACCGCGATCTCCCATCCTTCTTTGGATGTTTGACCATCTCTAGCCTCGAGTTCGCCCCTAGCAGGCAACAAATTGGCGTAGGCAATAAGTATGTCGTCTTTCCTCACACCCTTCGGCTGTTGCTGTTCAGTGTAACTCAGAACCATTAGATCACTCTGGTCGAACTGATCCATCAGGCCCTTTGCGCTTGTGAACCACTCTCCTGCACTGGCAAGCTCCGCGACCGCAGAAGCCATGGTGAGAGACCATCCCTGCAAGATTTGGAGAGCGCCCTCGATGTTGTCATCAAGTATACATGCTATGCCCACCTCGAAAGGGTCGACAGCATTGACACTGAAGTCTTCGTCGCTGTTCTGGATGACAGCCGCCAGCGCGGAAGATAGCCGTTGGCAATACGCTTTGACAGGAGTCACGTCGACAGGGCGAACTCGTTGAGACCGCATGATGGAGCGACGGCTTGCGGCCAGACTACCCTGTGCGGAATCTTCCTCTTCTCCATTCCACCAGACGCTCAGACCCACTACTGCTTCGATCCAGTCGGCCGATAATTCGAGGATCGCTTCTTCATCGCCCAGCAAGAGCT